TCGGAAGGTACCGCAGCTCCACCTCTTTTGCTGGTCCCTTCATCAGAGGTAGGAGGAAATTCAAGCACCCTCCGAGCTTCTCCGTCAAATCTTCTCCCCAAAGTAGCCACTCCGACTCTCCTTTTCTTCTTCTTCACTGGGTCTTTGTTCCCCAATTGGGTCTTGATATCCTCCTGACCCTTAGCCAAGGTCATCAGGAGTTGCTGGAACTGTGCATTTTGAGCTTGCAGGTCTTTGACTGTTTGCTCGAGATCCATCCTACTGAAATAAACAGCAGACAGATAAGGAAACCTGTTGAAGAGACCTGCTTATGCACATGATGGATGATATGCTTATGTATGCAATGCATTCAAGGATTTAGGACATTCAAAATTGTTTCAGACAAAGAAGAACGCACGTCATATTAATAAGAAGAAATTTGTTAGTACATAAATGCCCCATGGGCCAAATATTACAAAATAACTTCTCAAGGCAAAAAGAAATTGCGCATCCTCTTTGGTGCGATGTAGGTGTTGAGGGCCTCTTGCTCATGGAGTCGACGGGTGAGCTCTAGAACCTTCTTCTCACTGGCGTAGAAGCTGGCTTCAAAAGTATCCCTTTCTTCCTTGAGCTGAATCCAACTTTTCTGCATCTCTTCCCACGATGTAGGCATGTCAGGATGTAGGATGGTGTAGGGAACCTCTCCTTCCTTAACAGGCTCTTTAATCACGGGGAGAACATGAGGATAAGGCATCATGAGACTCTGGGCTCGGGCTCGTACCCACTTGAGATAAGGCTCAAGAGGGATGGAGTTCTTGTGTCCCAGTGTCTTGGTGTCAACCTTGTTGGGTCTTCCCCAAGCTCTGATGAATCTTTGGCGAAGTCCTTGCGCATCGTTGTCGAAGTCAAAAACTAGGTCAGGAATCAACATGTCGTGAGGGCCATCCCTCTGTGCATATCCAAATTGCCTCAAAGCTAGGCAAGGGTTGTAGGTGATACCTCCTCTGATTCCAAGTAAAGGAACATTAGGAAATTCTCCGCAACGATCGACGATGATGATATTTTCTCTGGACCGAGAACACCAATGTACATCAGAGTGAGTAAGAGTCATCAATCGTTGGGACCACCTTGAGCCTTGGTCATTCTTCAAGACAGATTGTGGAAGGTGCGAAATAAACCACCTTGCAAGGAGAGGAGTACAGCATATGAGAACACCCCTCTTTCTCATTGTTCGTGTGTAAAATGAGTGAAGGATGTCCCCAAGAAATGTTGGTATTGGATTTCTGGATAAGAAGATTTTGACGGCGTTGACATCTATCAATTGGTCAGAATTTGGGAACAAGACCAACCCATAGATAAGGAGTGCCACAATCTCTTCAAAGGCTTGTAGGTCCAATG